TAAAAGGCTACGACCACCCTAGAAACGGTCCGGAGATGTTCGAAGCCCGTTATCAAAACATAAGGCCATAAAATATTCCAAACCGGTTCAAAGGCTACCCTCGACAAAACTATAATCTAAAAACATCTAAACAAGCACTTCGGGAAAAGCTTCCAGTCATACTGAGCCCCCCACAAGTTTCAAAAAACATATACATCGAGAACGAATCTTGTTCGAACCTCCGAACAAGACATTATTTCTACATTTTATTCCATGCTACAGCATTTGAAATCTTTGCAATCATAAAAGGGAAGCCAAAAGAAATGAACTCAAAAATTTTTAAAGAGCAAAAAGCCTTATATATATTGCAATAAAAGCCTTTTACAACGTCCAACGATAACGGCCTCAACAAAATGAATAAATTGCAAAAACAAAGAAAAATCCATAAGGCACCTAAGCCTGATCTTTACTAGAACCCGCCTCGTCACCGGAGCTGTTGGGGTCTTCTCCATCCTCGGGTTTGCCGGAGCCCTCGGAGCCTTCCTCACCCTCGAGGTCAGCCATCTTCTTGGCCTCGGCCTAGAGCCTTTTCGTATCTTCGATCTTGGACGACAGGTCGAAACCCCGGGCATGGACCTCCTCGAGAGCCTCTTTTCGGGATAGCCACTTCATGTACTCAACAATAACTTTCAGGCGGTCTTCGGCTGCCTCGGCATCAGCCATGTACTGGGCCACCATCTCTTCAGAATTAACCCTTGTTATTTCCGACACAGACTTCATTGTTTCGAGCTCTTTGCCAATGGTATCGCGTTCAATAATGGCCGAGCCGAGTTGAGACTGGAGGTCTTCGATTAGTTGAGCCCGCGCTTCGGCCTTCTCTCTCGCAACTCGGAGTTGGACCTCTACCGATGCCAGCTACTCCCGGGTAGTCTCCTTCTCTGAAGCCAATCGGTCCATTTTTCCTTTCCACCCATCAGCCATGGCCTTGACCTCGTTCATCTCGGCTCAGAGTTGGTCGATCCTGTCAACCTTCTATTGGACCTACGAGGTTTGGCCATTAGTCCCAATGTCTAACTTGTCATAACTAACTTAAAAAAAACATTACTTGTTCCACCAGGTCAGCATGCTCCTTCTGAGCCGTATCCAACTCAGCCCGGAGAATCTTGACTTCTTCTTCATGTTGCTTGCTGAGAAGCTTATACATGTCCCTCTTCTCAGCAAGCTCCTTGACCTCAGCCTCGAGCTGGTTAACCTCAGCCCGGTACCGAAGAAAACTTTCATGATGAAGTACCGAGGCCTACAAAAATATAAGAAAAAGAAAAAGTATGAGAGATATCAAAAACTAAATACGAAGATGAAAGAGTATAATGATGCCTTACCTGGTTCAGCGCCTGTTGTGCTTCGTTAAACAAGCACGGCGTATCCACTTCGTTCATTTTCGCATGGTCTTCTTTGGTTACTAGGCACCAGAGATATCTTGCTACTCCAACGGGGGCGGAAAGAACCCGAGCATCCTTCGGGAAGGTGATTATTATTGACTGCTTTCGGCCGGGATCCATGCTCGGGGCGAGGAATTGGTTGATTAATTTTGGGCTCGAGTTTAGCCCACCGCTTTCCTCAGTGCCTCTAAATCACCCAACCCGGAGAAGTCTTCCAGGGCGGTTGAGTCCACACCTTCAAAAAAGGAACGGAGGGGATCTTCCATACCATGGGCCCCTTTGTTGGATCGCTCATTCGTTGCTAGGGCTTCGTCGAACATAGACTCGATGAACGAAGGCGACCCCAAAATTTCTATGACAATTGGAGGAGCGGAGCCGGCGTCTCGAGAGGTCTCGACCCTCACATCTACATCGGCCTCCTAAACCTGAGGCGGATCAGCCTCTGTTGTTTCCCCCTTGGCTGCCACCCCGCTCTTTAGGGAAGGACGGCTCACAGGCCACAAAAACATCACCTTCCTCACGCTCGTCCTTGAGCCGAAAAAGTGAGTCCGAGTCAGGCGCTCGGGAGCTATAACTCTCCTTTGGCTTACAAGCCAACCTTCTCCTTGGACTCTTCTTGGGGAACTCAGAGCCCTCTTTCTCTTCTTCTCTCTTGCTGCAGCCTCGGGTTGCCCCAAAGCGGAAGGATCGACGGATAGGTTTTCGCCCCTACTAAAGGCCTAAGCTCAATGGTCTTAGGCAATCCTGCAAAAAGAAAAGAGAGGGAATGAGAACATGGTGCTGAAAAAGGGAGCCTAATGTTACTTATTCGGGAAAGAAATCTTACTATGGGAACGGGTCTCCCAGCGACCCTTCGAGAGTTTGCGCCATGAGGGCTCAAAATAAGGCATCTGCGAGCAAATGCCTTCGATCCACTCCTTGAGCCGAGGAATGGCATTTGGAACTCGAGCAAGGGCTGCACCACAACAAATATCGATGAGAAAAAGGGAGTTAAAACATAAAATCGACATTTAAAAGAAAGTTATGCTTACATGATAAATTCTACTTCTCGGGGAATGGCCTGAAATCGGCAGGGATCAAGTGTGCGGTCCTCACCCGGACAAAGTATCCCTGCCAGCCCCGATCTCGGTCTTCTTCGATGCTTAAAAATTATGCTTTCTTGGCCTAGCGGAGTAGATGATCGAGGGTGAACAAGCAGGAGTCAATTTTGTTCACAAAGAATAGGAGGAGGATTACGATCCTTCACAACAATGGGTGGATCTGACCGAGGCACACTTCATACCTCCTACGAAAGTCCAGAATAACCGGGTCCATCGTCCCAGTGTGAAGGGGTAAGTGTAAATACTCAGATACCCCTCCACATGGTCATTAATGTCGTCATTGGGCCCAGGGATTACTATGTCCTTATCCGCCCAGCCGCAGTCCTTACGAACCGCATGAAGGAAGGCCTCGGTGATAGAGCAAATGTACCTAGATATCGCCTCGCATCGACCTTGCACCGATGAAGGTTTTTCGACCTTAAAGTCATCCGCGATCGAACATCCCCCAAGGACGAACATTTTCAAGGGAGGCTCGGCTGTCGGTTCATCGGTAGACGTGCCCGGAACGGTTCTCTCGAAGTCAACCACATTGGGAGCGGTCTCCTCGACTTCGGTGGTCGGCCGTGAAGAAGAAAAAGAAGCAAATTTTAGGGGAACAGTCTTGGAAGTATTTGCCATTGTTATCTAGAAAAAAATTATAAGAAGTGAGAAGGAATATTGGGAGATGAAGGGTAAAAGCTTGCTGAGAAAATCAAGCGTGCTGGTTTGGGTAGAAAATAAATGAAAACTTGCAATTTGCTGAAATATCTTGAAGAACAAAGGTAAAAATGCTGGGGTATGAAGAGAGGCAGTAATGTCCTGATGGCACGAAGGTAGAAGTTTGGTCAAAAAGTAAATAATGAACGAAGGAGAGGAGTATTTATAGAGGTTTTGCGCCGTTTCGTGTCCAGGGACGGTCTGCCAATGGCCGACACGAGTCATTATGACGCGACTGATGGGACGTTTCGAATTCTTTGTCGTTTCTGTCACGGCGTATTGAAGAAGGAATCGAGGTGCTCATGTCGTTTCTCGTCGTTTGTGTAAACTTATTCTCCGAGAAATGAGGGGACTATCTGTATACGGGTGAAACCAAGCCCGTGGGACGCCTTAGTTTTCGATGAAGTAAACGGAGTAAGAGACGTAAAGGCAAGGAACCAGAATCGAGGCAAGGAGCCCCTTGGTCCGAGGTCCGGGCAAAACATCCGCCCTCGGGAGTATCGGGACCATGACCCCCAGGTCCGGTTCGAATCCCAAAAGCCTCAGAGAGCATTACCAGACAATCGAGCACAACCAGCAAAAGGCCGTGATGTCCGCGATTGTATGGATATAACGGCGTGGATCTCGGCACATATCGGTAGAGAATTGGTGATTAGTTAAACGAAAGAGTTTTACCTTTTATGAAATTGTACTTAGAGTAAAACTCCCCTACTATATAAAGGGGGGTCTGATTATTCATTAGGGACATTGTAACACGCACATCAAGATAATATACTCTTATTTTCTCTGTTATTTAAAGCTCTCACTTTTGTTCATCAAATCATCAGTAACGTGAGCTCGGATTCGAAGGCATGTATTCCATTAAGCTGTTAGTAAGTCCAGGATCACCCTTCTTGATTGGTTTGATAATTTATCATGTCCTTTATGTGTTTAATCTAATGTAATTTATCGTTTGTATTAAATTAATCCATGTATCCTTAAAATCAGTTATAAATTGAATTATTATCCGTTTTTAGGGTAAACATATGTAATGAACTTATTAAATATTCTAAGGAACAGATGCTACTTTGTTTCATAAACTCTGCTCATACTAAGGGATACTTAGTATGGGCAGAGTTTATTTGTACTGATAAAAAATAAATAAATTCTATCCATCCTAAGTAGTCAAACTTGAAACCAGATCCAAAGTCTGCCATTATATCCCTTTTGTAGGTGCACCCTCATGCATTAATTACTTTCTGAAATTGGAAAAATATATAAAGAATGGGATTTGCATAGACAGCGCATAATTTGGTAAATACTGAATTACTGTATCGAAGCCGAAATTTTTTGTATTTGGTATTCGATATTTTGTTATTCGGTATAGTATTTGGTTTAATTTTTTAAAAAAAATGGTATTAGGTATGGTATTTAGTATTTTAAAATGAAAAATCAAAATATCGATATCGTACCGAAATATATATTATATTGCACAATACACATATTATTAATTATAACATAAATATAAAAAAATCTAAAATTTTTCTTTTCTTTATTCTCTAAGTTCATCAATTAACTCTAAGCAAGTAACAAGACATTTCTAATGATCAAATTTATTCCTTTATATATAGTTTTCTCTCTCTGGGTTGATATTTGCTGGTTTTGGACAAAATTTTTGTCAACAAACATTTTTAGTTTTGTACTTTTGAGTACTTTAATTAAGAATATTATAGTCTCTGACTCTATATACTAGTTACCGAACCGAATAAATCGAAACCGAAAGGAAAAAAATCGAACCATACCGAATTTAATTAGGTACGATATTGATATAGTATTTTAATATACCGAATATCGAAAATGCCGAACCGAAATATCTAAATACCGTACCGTACCGACCGGCGAACACCCTAGATTTGCAGCTAATAATATTTGATTTCGTAGCCAATAGCAATAAATAGAACCTAAACGTGCTGTCAACCAAGTGAACATTAATTTTAAGCCAATGTGGCCCTCTATATTTCTATTTCTTCTTTGAATTAGCCTCCTCTATTCATTCTCTTCTGATGATCTCCTTTCTGATATCCTCTTCTTAGCCTTTATCGCCTGCAAAATTTCATCACAATAGTTGAAACAAGAGATAATAAGTAATTAAATTAGGCTAAGGATGAAATGAAAATTTGGAGAAACAAAGAAAATTGGACCTGCTTTTGCCAATCAATGAAACTTAGTATGGAGGAAAGAGTAGTTGCTTGTATTGCAGAACCAACCAAAAGTCCAATCCAAAGGCCCTTTGCTCTCAAATGTATAAGAAAACATAATATGGCAGAAACTGGGATTCCAACCAAATAGAATGCTCCAAGATTCACATATGCCCCAATAATCTGCCATCCACTTCCCCTTGCTATTCCTGTTTATTTCCAACATAGCCAAAAAACTATACCACATCAACATACGGAGTAATATTTCATTATTAGACTATATTTTTTCCGACTTAATTTCAAATACTCCTTTTCAGATTTCAGCTAAATATTATCCAAACGCCTACTTAACGACCATCGAAAGATATAGTAAAAGACTTGCCTGAGATGACTGCTTGTAAGCTATCTGTGATGATTGATAAACACAGGAAAGGGGTAATTGCAGCAACATAATCCACCACTTGCTGATCATTGCTATAGGCTTTACCCAGAACTCGGCGGCATAAGAATGTTACTGTGCTCACCACTAATGTCTCTGCAACTGCAAGAAACATTGCAACTCTAACTGCCACTAGAGCCTTCTGAGGATTCGCAGATCCCAATTCATTCGAAACCCGCGTGCTATACTCGAGCCAGAAATTTTAGTTACAAAGACATGACATTGATGCATATTTGTTACTATGTTTTTTTAAAGTTTTACCAAAGGCATGAATATTGAACTGACCTCGCGCCAGCTCCCAATCCAAATGGTATAGAAAAATGCAATGCTGAGATCGTTAAGCTGATTGCAGAAAATATGAGGGATCAGTACTATTATAAACTACGAATCTATCATAATAGAGGTTATAATGAAATATAATGGTGCACACGTACCATATTGATAGTACTGAAGTTTCGAGTTTTGGATTTGGTAAAAGGCCAGATAGCAAAATAAGCACCTCAAGTGACCACCATTTGAGGCTATAATAATTGCCATTGTCACAACAACAGATCAAGATAAAGTAATAGACAAATGTGCTATGCAAAAGCAGTACTCTTACTTACCAAACCATTAAAGCAGATGGAGTTGCATAACGGAAGAATTGCCCAATAGCAAGGAAAGCCTCTTTATTCAGAGGAGTACGAGTCCTCTCACAAGAGCTCGATCGTTTGATGTAAGACACAAGCAATGCTACAAAAGTCCAGATTGAAAAACTAAAGGCTATAGCTGCACCTGATTTTCCTAGTCCCAAATGAAATATGAAAAGCCAGCACAGAGATATGTGGAGACATAAAACCAGAAAGGCGCTTAGGAGCATCGGAAGAATCAAACTTTGAATCTGCAAATATCTGAATAGTGGCCTAAGAATTGCACCTCCAAAGAGTGCAGGGATAAGCCACATAGAGTACTTTGAAGCTTCAACTGAAATTGCAGGGTCTTGTCCCATTAAAATAAGCAGCTTGTCCATGAATAGCCACAGGATACTGATTGGTATGCACACAAGAAGCAAAGATATTACTGCACTATAAGTATAAGTACCGACTTTCTGCCATTGTTGTGCCCCGTATGCTTGCCCACACAGTGTCTCCAAACCACCAACCAACCCTGACTAGCATATTTGCAGAATTCAACCACTCAAACAACATAAGAATCTACAACAATATTTCATGACCAATGAAATTACTTAGGAATATACATTGAGGATAAAATGAGAGAAGATTGTTTGAGAAGGTTTGGTCATATCCTATGTAAACCTTCAAATGCACAGGTATATAGGCGTCGGTGAGTGGAGGTGCTAAAAGGGAACAAGGTAGACTTAAAATCATATGAGATGAAAATTGTCTTGAAAGATCTACAATCTCTTGCAATACTGGCAAACTTAGTGAAAAATAGAGCAGAATTGAAAGAAAGTATCTATATAAGTGATACCAATTAGTTGGGAATATAGTTTACTCATGTTAATACATTTACTTTAGGTTTTATGTTTTCCGGGAGTCTTTTAATCCTGACAGAAATTCAGTAGAAAATATAGAAAATTTCAGGTGCATTTTCTTTTTTACTATTATTTTTGTATAATATTGGTCTAGGATAAGTTTAATGGAGCAACATGGTCAGGATTCATATGGCACCCTAACTTACTTGAAATTGGGACTTAGTTGTTGTCATTCTTGTATTTCATGACCAATTAAGAAGTTCAGGTGATCACTGATTTGATGACCATGTGTTAGGTTAAAATTACTGGTAAGTCTAGAGATATAAAAATCACAATGATAGAGGACTTACAAGAAGAGAGAAACCGGTAACATTGGTTATAGAAGTAGCAATAGCAACACTTGACAGGGAAATCTGGTCAAGATGTCCCACCATCATCACCGATACAACTTGCAATAGATACTGCAATACAGAAACTGCCACCATTGGTGCTGCAATACTAGTCAACTTTTTCAGTTCTTCATAATAAGTATCCCATTCCCTTGTTATTATCCATCTGCTGTTCTTTCCATTTTCCAGCAACTGCTCTTCCATGTATTCAGCCTTGTTTAAATTTGTAAAAATTAGCTACAGATATATGCTGCAACTGTGATTTCAATTGGACTGTAAATACCAACTTATAAGTTCTACGTGTTAGCTGCTTCCATGTCTTCTATCCATAGTCCCTTTCATTTGCTGTACATATAATAGTTCACTGCATTTAGTGAGCGTTTTGGACATAATAATTGTAAAATATTTTTTTTAAAAAAAACGAAAAAAAATTTAAAGTGAAAATTGTATTTGAAAATTAGAGTTGTGTTTGGACATGAATATTATTTTGGATTGTTTTTGAAGTTTTGTGAGTGATTTGAGTGAAGATTTTGAAAAATAATTTTTAAAGTTTTTCAAATTTTGAAAAAGTGATTTTTTTTATGTCCAAAAGGGCTCTTAGTCAAACCATCAATTAATGCTCCAGAAGCATGGAATTATTTAATCCAAGTCTGCTATTTGATGACTCAGTCGTGCTTAAAAAAACCGTTTCTGTTAACAGAGACTTTTCAAGTCGTCCATAGTTTAAGACGATCTTCAAATCACGTCCTAGATTTTCAGTGGTTAATAGTACAGTATGTGTTTGGCACAACATAGGAAAGAAATACAATAAGATAGCTCCGTATATGCGGGGCTTGCAGGGTAGCGGGAAGTTTCACTTTCACCTGAAAATTTTACTTTTTCAATGTGTGCTAGTCTCAAGAATCTTTTGATGCAACTATGTTTAAATAATGATATTGTTTTCTCCGCACTTGAGCCTGATTATGGTGCAAGTTGTTTTGGACAGAACGACCCTAGTCACTTTGTCTAGTTGTTTGGAGAACGACCCTACTCACTTTGTCTAGTTGTTTGGACAGAACTCAGGAGTCATGATCTCTTGGAGTACAGACAGATCCAAAATTTAAGTGAGGGGCACCATCACTTTTAGATATAAAATTACTAGTAATAAAGTTTGACATACAACTCTTTGAAAACGTAATAATTATGATAACACATCAACAACGACAAATTTAATTTTGCCGAATATTATTAATTTGATACTAATATAAAAATATATATATATCATCCGCTCATACTTGAACTCGACGCATTACTATGTAAACTTTGCAAAAATTTAAACTGTAATATGTAAATTCTTATATAGAATGTGAAGGGTCCATCTCATTCAAAAGCCAAAGTAATATGCATGTGCCTAAGGAAAATTTCTTTGATTTGGTAATCAACTTTGTTGAATTTCTTTAGTTTGGTAGCCAACTTTGTTGAATTTCTTTGGTTAGGTCATCAACTTTGTTGAATTTCTTTAGTTTGGTAGCCAACTTTGTTGAATTTCTTTGGTTAGGTCATCAACTTTGTTGAATTTTCAACATTGAAGAAAAAGAAGAAAAAGTGTGTGCAAATTGTCAAATATAGTAGGCTTTAGAGAGTGAGGCTTAGACTATAAAAGGAGAGTTTCAACTCTCATTTCTAAACACCAACAAAGAGAGAAAGAAAGAGTGAGGTTTCACAGACAAGGTATAAAAAAATAGTATGTGAGAAAAATAGAGAGTGATCGATATTGTTGTGAGGTGGGAATATCAAAAGAAGGTTATTTCTTTTGAGTATTGTAGTGATTTTTGGAATATTTTACTCGGACCTACAAAGTGTAAAATTCCTTGCTATAGTGATATCAGTTGCTCGTCTCGGGGTCGCGGGTTTTTCTCTAATTCAAAAGGGGTTTTCATGTAAAAATCTTGGTGTCGTTGTCATTATTTTATTCTTGTTAATTACCGTATCTCGATTCTACTTTATTATTCTGCTTTTATTACCTTGAATATTATTTCTGTAGGGGATTTATTCCCAATAACTAGTATCAGAGCACAGGTTCTGCTCGTTCACAAAAATACTATTCACTGTCGGTAGTACTATACTCAGTAAAAAATAAAAATGTCCGGAGTAAATTACGAGGTAGCAAAATTTAACGGAGATAGCGATTTCTCAACATGGCAAAGAAAGATAAGAGATCTACTCATCCAACAAGGATTACACAAGGTACTAGATGCTGATGCCAAAATGCCTGATACCATGAAAGTTGAGGATTGGGCTGACTTATATGAAAGGGCTGCTAGTGCAATCAGGTTGCACGTATTAGATGATATGGTAAATAACATCATTGATGAAGACACCACACGTGGCATTTGGACAAGTTTGGAAAGCCTATACATGTCCAAAACGCTAACAACTAAATTGTACCTGAAGAAGCAGCTACACGCCCTACACATGGATGAAGGTATGAATTTTTTATCACATTTAAATATGTTTAACGGACTAATCACGCAGCTCACTAATCTCGGAGTGAAAATTGAGGAAGAAGATAAATTCATCTTGTTGTTGAACTCGTTGCCATCTTCATACGATAATCTGGCAACAACCATCCTTAAGACTACCATTGAGTTGATAAATGTCACATTGGCTCTTCTACTCAATGAGAAAATGAGAAAGAAGCCTGAAAATCAAGGACATGCTCTAATCACAGAAGGTAGAGGCAAGAGTTATCAAAGGAGTTCGAGCAACTATGGTAGATCCGGAGCTCGTGGGAAGTCTAAGAACCGATCCAAATCAAGAGCTAGAAATTGCTAAAATTGTGATCAACCAGGTCACTTCAAAAGAGATTGTCCAAATCCAAGGAAAGGCAAAGATGAAACTAGTGGTCAGAAGAATGACGACAACACAACCGCCATGGTGCAAACCAATGATAATGTTGTCCTCTATATAAACGAGGAAGATGAATGCATGCACTTATCAGGTCCAGAGTCGAAATGGGTGGTTGATATAGCAGCATCTTACCATACCACATCGGTAAGAGATCTTTTTTGCAGATATGTAGCAAGTGATTTAGGCCTTGTGAGAATGGGTAACACAAGTTACTCAAAGATTGCAGGGATTGGTGACATTTGTATTAAGACAAATGTCGGATGTACATTGGTTCTGAAGGACGTGTGACATGTACCTGATTTGCGGATGAACTTTATCTAGGGAATTGCTTTAGACCGAGATGGATACGAGAACTATTTTGCAAATCAAAAGTGGAGAATCACCAAGGGATCATTGGTGATTGCAAAGGGAGTTGCTCATGGCATGTTGTACAGGACAAATGCAGAAATATGCTAAGGTGAATCGAACACGGCACAAGATGAGATTTTTGCAGATTTGTGGCACAAAAAAAATGGGTCATATGAGCGAGAAAGGATTGCAGATTCTTGCCAAGAAATCACTCATTTATTATGCCAAAGGTACAACGGTAAAACCTTGTGACTACTATTTATTTGGTAAGCAGCATAGAGTCTCATTTCAGACATCATCTGAAAATAAATTGAATATACTTGATTTGGTATATTCTGATATTTGTGGTCCAATAAAAATTGAATCGATGGGCGGTAAAAAATATTTTGTTACTTTTATTGATGATGCTTCACTAAAATTATGGGTTTATATTTTGAAAACCAAAGATCAGGTGTTTCAAGTTTTTCAGAAGTTTCATGCTATGGTGGAAAGGGAGACAGGCCAAAAGCTAAAGCGTCTCCGAAGTGACAATGGAGGTGAGTACACTTCAAGGGAATTTGAAGAGTACTGTTCGATTCATGGGATCAGACATGAAAATACAGTTTCTGGAACCCCACAACACAATGGCGTAGCCGAAAGGATGAACTGCACCATAATGGAGAAGGTGAGAAGCATGCTCAGAATGGCTAAACTACCTAAATCATTCTGGGGTGATGCAGTTCAGACAGCATGTTACCTGATCAATAGGAGTCCATCAGTTCCATTGGCGTTTGCCATCCCAGAGAGAGTTTGGACCAACACGGAGGTGTCCTACTTGCATTTGAAGATGTTCGGTTGCAGAGCTTTTGCGCATGTACCAAAGGAGCAGAGAACAAAGCTAGATGATAAATTTGTTTCATGTATATTCATCAGATACGGAGATGAAGAGTTCGGATACATATTGTGGGATCCTGTAAAGAAGAAGGTCATCAGAAGCAGAGATGTAGTCTTCCGAGAAAGTGAAGTTGGAACTGCTAATGATATGGCAGAGAAGGCCAAGAATGGTATAATTCCTAACCTTCTTACTATTCCTTCTACTTATAACAATCCCACAAGTACAGAAAGTACGACCGACGAGGTTGCCGAGCAGGGAGAGCAACCTGGTGAGGTTATTAAGTAGGGGGAGAAACTTGATGATGATGTCGAGCAAGTGGAGTACCCCACTCAGGAAGAAGAACAACCTCAATCTATGAGGAGATCAAAGAGGCCAAGGGTAGAGTCATGCAAATACCATTCCACAGAGTATGTCCTCATCAGTGATGAAGGGGAGCCAGAAAGTCTTAAGGAGGTGTTGTCCCATCTAGAAAAGAACCAGTGGATGAAAGCTATGCAAGAGGAGATGGAATCTCTATAGAAAAAATGACACGTACAAGCTGGTTGAACTTTCAAAGGGAAAAATACCACTCAAATGCAAGTGGGTCTTTAAGCTCAAGAAAGATGGAAATAGCAAGTTGGTCAGATACAAAGCTCGATTGGTGGTTAAAGGCTTCGAACAGAAAAAAGGTATTAATTTTAATGAAATTTTCTCACCTGTTGTCAAAATGACTTATATTCGAGTAATCTTAAGTTTAGCAGCTAGCCTAGATCTTGAAGTGGAGCAGTTGGACGTGAAAACTGCATTTCTTCACGGAGATTTGGAAGAAGAGTTCTATATGGAGCAGCTAGAAGGATTTGAAGTAGCTGAAAGAAAACACATGGTGTGCAAAGTGAATAAGAGTCTTTATGGGTTGAAGCAAGCACCAAGGCAGTGGTATAAGAAGTTTGACTCATTCATGAAAAGTCAAACTTACACAAAGACATATTCTGATCCATGTGTATACTTCAAAAGATTTTCTGACAACAACTTTATAATTTTGTTGTTGTATGTGGATGACATGTTAATTGTATGAAAAAACAAGAGGTTAATCTCAAAGTTGAATGGAGATTTGTCCAAGTTATTTGATATGAAGGACTTGGGCCCAACACAATAAATTCTCGGTATGAAGATAGTTCGAGAGTGAACAAGCAGGAAGTTGTGGCTGTCTTAGGAGAAGTACATTGAACGTATACTGGAACGCTTCAATATGAAGAATGCTAAGCCTGTCAGC